GTGTTTAAGTTGATGTGAAGACGACTGTTGTTGTGTTCATGTCTACAGGAAGTGAAGCTGGATTACAGCTGACAGCATCACAACATGTATAGAGACAGCTGTCCTCCTTCATCAAACTGTCACACCATCAAATCTGACCTTGATAACAGGGGACCTGTTATGCTTTCCTGTGTGTGTGTGTGTGTGTGTGTGTGTGTGTTATATAGCCTATAGCAGACCTGCCAACCTGTACGCATATTGCGTACCAGGCACGCATTTTGACATCAAAGTACGCTGGTACGATTTGATGCTCTAAAAGTACGCATATCACTCGATCGCGCATTTCGCCGGTTTCAGTGTATTTGTCTATGCAAGATGTCACTCAAGTTAATACCCGGTGAATATAGGCGCGTAGGTGGAACGAAAAGATTTCGGCCAATCAGATTGCTGCATATTGCAGTCTGTAAACAGTTAACTTTAGCTTGTGTATATTAGAGCTAGCTTCTATCTTAGCAGTTAGCTTCTGTCTGTAAACAGTTAACTACAGTCTCATAGCAGTTAGCTTCTGTCTGTTAGCAGTTATCTCTTATTAGCTCCTCACCGTCAGCTCAGAGTTACCGTATGTTCAGTCCGGTAGAAGGTATCACCTTCTCGCACCCGTTTAAGAAATCTCACTCCACCTCCGAGTCCTTTTTTATTTATTTTTTTACGCCCTCTAGTGTGTTCACTTGTGTGTGTTCACTTGTGTGTGTGTGTGTGTGTGTGCGGGCATGTGTGTGTGCGCACGCCCAACGGGGCCAAACTCCGCCGTGCGCGATACAGAGAGCAGGGGAGGATTGTAAACGCGCGACCATGTAGAGAAAGAAACGACACGCGGTCTGTAAATAAGATAAATAACATAAGGCCATTTAGTTTGTTTAATAAAAGGACAAGGTATAGACCTGTTCTATAGGAAAGGTTACCTTAAGGGACTTCTTTGTGATCTGGCACTATATAGAAAATAAAATTAAATAAAATTAACTTGACCTTCAAGGGAGGGTGGGGCGGGGTGCTCCCCTAATAAAATGGTAGGGCAATCACTGAAGTAAATAGTGTCAAAGTTGCCTGTCGTCGATACATTGCTGGTGAGAATTGTACCAAGGTAAGCAAATTGCAGATAAATTTACATTCAACTGTGTTATGAAACCATGTGCCCTGCCTGAATAACTATAACACACTTATGATAAAAAGACTTTTTGTTTGATGAGTCTGCTGAATTTCTATAAGAAAAAAACAAGGCAATAAGAAGAGAGTAGTTCTAATAGGTGTCGTACTACACAAGAACATGATGAGGAATGCTAATGTAATGCACTTGTCTATGATCTATTATCTATTTCTGTATGAAATTGCATGACAATAGGATTTCGCCATGTGATGTTTCAAAATTTTCTCGGGCGAGAACCCCCCGAATCCCACTTGAAATCTTTCTTTTTGTCACAACAGGACATATTACTGTATTTTTTAAGCAGATGATCAATATTACCATCAGATTGATGAAATTGACCTTGATCTGCGCCATTAAACAAATATTGGGCGTCTATGGACATATGTGGGGCTTAGGCCTATGGATATGAATATGTAAACGTACGCTTGTTTCTTCTGTTTGCCACATGTGCATATTGCCTTTTATGGTAAAAAAAAAGTGCCGCCATGTCCACATATGTTCAAGACCACACACGAGTGTCTGGTAAGGTGGTACTCATAACCTTTGTTCAAGGTTGGCAGGTCTGCTATAGTGTTACAATGAAGGATGTTGGTATTTGTTCTTCATTCAGTCATTTGTTCTAACAGACTCAGTAAATCCATCATTAAAGTGAATCCCTCTGTTTGTGCAACCATGATGAGTTCAGGACTCTCAGCAGTTTATTTACACTGTGTACTTGAGAGAAATCTGCAGAGTAAACAGACTTGATGCCCAAAGTCTCTGCAGGTCTGTGAGCTTCCAGCTCAGTGTGTTCATTCCAACACGTTAACATGAGAGCTGACTGACAGCTGGTTTATAACTTCTCTTGTCTTCTTCTCTCATCAGATGGAGGTCATGAGAGGATCAGCTGTGTCCTGATGATCCAGAGACGTTGAAGCAGCAGCATCAATGTGTGTGTGTGTGTGTGTGTGTGTGTGTGTGAGAGAGAGAGAGTCTGTTTGTGTCTGTGTGTGTCTGTGTGTCTGTGTATATACAGTATAATAGTGAGGTAATTCAAATAAATACATGTTTCCTAGTCCTGAAAAAGTCAGGCAATTCCACAAACATATTTTCCAGGCCTGGAAAAGTCATGGTGTTCGTAAAAATCATTGAAAGTTTTGGAAAAGACATGGAATTTTTGTGTGTAATAAAATTTTTAGGTTAATCTTCCACCTGATGTAATGTAATGACAGATTTATTTTATCATTAATAATAACAATAATAAAACATTCCCACCACAGTCACAATCTTGAAAGGCCTCTATAAATAAAATGCATTAAAACTACCATCCAACTCCCTCACAGTTGATGGTAGTTACATCGAGCTAAGTGTGTCCAGTGTTGGTTGATTATTCGGCGGAGCAGGTTTAGCGTTAGCTTGGCCGTCTGCGGCTAACGCTATCTCTGGATGGTGGAGTGTGAGGTGAGCCCTCATGTTCGTAGTATTCCCACAGTAAAAAAATCCAAAATAAGTTCAGACGTTTGATTTAAACACAGACGCCACACTCCTTATTTCTGATTAACTTCCTGCCAAATGCTGCTGACTGAGACCTCTGCTGACCTCACCGGGAAAAACCAACATCACCATCTAGTGGAGCTAAAAAGCAACTGACTTTATTATTCTAGCACCAAAAGTTGTATGAAGCTTCTGTGCAGGCAGATTTGGTTCATTAGAGGCCGCTGTGTTTCACAATATATCTTTAAACGTTACAGTTACAGCTGAAAATGACGACAGAAATCAACAAGTCTGCTGATGTCACAACAACAATCACTCCCGAGTAAATAACTGGAAATATTTAACAACTGCAGAGATCTGTTTGCACGATGTCATGGTGATTCGGCCTGTATGGGCACATTTTCTGTTCCAGATCTGAGAACACTACAACAGAATAAAGATCATTTGGGTGTAAAACAAAGGAAACAAATCAAATCAGGCTCCCAGTCATTAGCAGTTTCTCAATACTCAAGTTCAGCAGTTCGGACTTGTGGACTTGGCGAGTCCACGCGAGAGTCCAGACTTCCCCAGAACGTGAGGACAGTCATTTCTGCTTTTGGAACAGCAGCGAACTTGATGATGTCACCACCTCCGCTCACCTTGGCTGTTGTACTGTGTTGTATACATGCATTTAGAATAAAACAATATAAACACAGCCCAGCCCTGTGTCTTTTCATTGTCATTGTAAGAAATTAATATGTATATGTTTTTAAGGTTTCAACATATTTAACTGACACACAAAAACATATAAATAGCCAAAATATTTTCATAAAATGTCTCATAAATCCTTTTCCCTGCAGCTGACCTCTGATTATAATCAAAAGCCAGCTGCAGGGGGAAAAGTTTGTGGAGAGTTGGTGGTTATTGTGATCGTGAGCATTGGCGGGTTGGAAATCAAAAATCAATAACTGACATGGATCGGAGAAGGCGTCTTGGTGCAGTTATTGCAGCAGGATTTCTGTACCTGCAGGCTGAAGAGGAGGCTGCCCAGCTGAGGAGGCAGATCCCAGAAAGACAGCGGAGGATGAGGATGAGGATGAGAATGAGACGTGCTATGCTTGCATGTCTCTATTGTTTTGTATGTTTGTCCAGTTGTGGACAAAGTACCCAGGAAAAGTAGTAATATCACAACAAAGAACAAAAACTCAGTCACAAGTCAAAGTGCTGCAAATCTGACTTGAGTAAAAGTGTCTGGGTATTGTCAGCAAAATGTAGGACTACTTCAAATGAAAAGTTCAAAGTACTCATGATGCAGAGTGACCCCAATTCAAGTGTTGTGATCATCATATACATGAATATGTGAGAACCATTTTTTGTGAAATATGTCATGTTTGTTTTTGGTAGAACTCTCGCCACTTGGGGGAGCAGGTGTGCTGACAATTAGGCGGTGAGGTGAAGTGATTTAATCCAGGTTTAACTTCACACAGGTGTTGCAGTGTGGAAGCATAAAGTTTTTTGACCATGCACAAGGCAATGTGAAAGAGGAAAGGTCCGAGATCCGAGGTGGAAAAGCATGACGTGGTATAAGGTAAAAATGCTTAATGTCACTGATTTTGTTGCTGATGTAAGCAAATGGTTGGTTCATAATGAAAGGAATCAAGCTGATATTGATGATGGGTGGAATGTGGAGCCTCAGGACAGCATCTCAAATGTGCAATCCAGCACTCCCAGTAAAGGCTCTGGTCGAAAAAGTTAATGTCTCAAAGACAAGTCTTCAACATCATCTTCACGGCTCCAAGCTGAGGCAGAAAAGGCTGCACTTTTGGCACGTGCTGCTGCACTACAAGAAAAGCATGCTTTGGAGGAACAAGCGGAGCTGCTAAGGAGGAAGAAGGAGCAACTTGAAATTGAGACTGAACTAGCAGCATCTGCAGCAAAACTGGCAGTGTTGAACACCTCACGTCATGGCAGTGTTTCAGAAGCACATGCGGATGGGATGAATTCCTGTTTTCAAAAGGGAACACTCAATCCTCATGCTGAAAAATGCATTCCGCAGGAAAGGGACACATTTCAAAAGAAATATACATTACCTGTCAACACCCATGCAACAGTGGAAAATAAAAGAAGAGCTCATCAAGCAACCTCACATCAATCAGATTGTAATCCTACTGGTCAGCAAGCAACACATTCACAAGCCAAGCTTCAAGACTCTGGAGGTTTCTACAGTCTTTTACAAAGACATAATGAAGTAACAGCACTCCTTGTTCAGACGCAGAGGAGTTTGCATGTTCTCCCTGTGTCAGCGTGGGTTTCCTCCAGGTGCTCCAGCTTCCTCCCACAGTCCAAAGACATGCAGGTTAACTGGTGACTCTAAAGTGTCCGTATCAACTGTCCGAAAAATTGATGACTGTTCCAAACAGACGTTTTCTGATCATTCCACAACATTCCCGGTGTTTTGTCGCCCCCATCCCAACTGTGCACTCTACTGAGGAACAGTAAAGTCAAGAGCAAAGGCCACCACTTTCAGGAGCCATGGAGAGTTTGCTCTGAGGAGGCTGCATTAAATGTGGTTGTACATGCACAATGACAATAAAGATATTCTATCTTATTCTACTCTAAGTTAAATACTTTTTATGTTAATGCATCAAAATAATAATAATCCTAATATAATAGCAGTCTCAAGTCTCTGTGTTACTCTCAATAAATGAGTCAAAGGGGGGAGGTGCCAACAGAGAGGAACAACGAAAGTGAAAGTATAAAGTCAGTGGTGTGTTCAGACTCCATGTTAAACTGCACAGAGCAGTGAGAGGAAGACAGGTCGTGTGAGACACAGTGAGTGTTGATGTTTATTCATTGTTTACTGTGTTCTAGGGGAGAGTAGGGTCGGTTGGGTCAGTGCCACATCTTCACAGCTTCATCATCACACTTGCTTTTACCATGTTGTGCCTTCTTCTCATCCTGTTTGTGACGCCAAAATTGTTGTTTCTTAAATAGCGATGATGTGAAGGTGATGAAGAAGACTCCGATGACACCATCTTGCTTGCATAAAGAAAAGGTGTTATTACAAGAAGTACAGCATCTATCAAGCATCTAGAATGCTTGGAGAGGGTTCTCGGCCAATGTGAACTGCTCTGAAAAACAGTCCCAAATACCCTGCTTATATAGACCTGGTAGTGTTTGTGAAATGTGAGACAAAGTCAAACAGATAATAGAGGGTCTCCCTAGATGGACTTCACCAAACTTTAACCCTGGGCCATAAATATTTTCTTTGACCCTGACCATATATACTTCTGACCCTGAGTCCCTTACTGGTCATCTGTTCCAAACCTTCAGAGTGAATGATAATACACTACAACCACCACCATCATCTGACGCTGTTTTTACAACCAGGCTTTTCCTGTTAAACACGAGGCCTGCGCACAGCTACGGATCTGCGCGCTCCGGTGCTTCGGGCTCAGCTACAGCTCTCCCTGCTCTTTGTTAGAGTGAGTTTTGGTTTCCGCCCTCAGATCAGATCAGTGCACGGACACTCTCTAAACTTTAGGCTCGTTGGAGATGACCTGCGCCTCGCCTGGAGAGTAGACGAGATCAGAGCTGCAGCAGGAGGCGGTGACAAAAAGCTGCGGTCAAGTCTGACAGTTTCCTGACAGTTTCCAGCAGCCTTCAGTCTGTACAGGAAGTCACAGAAACACTCGCATCCTGTCAGATATGATGGTGATTTATTCAAATATAATCAGACTGATATATCAGTTTGTTCTCAGTCTCCAGTTGTTTTAATTCTGATAGATTGATTTATTAAAATGCTTTACAGGTGATCTGTAGTTTATGTTCATGGTTCAACCTCCATTTATATGAATTCTCCTGTAAATCAGCATCATATCAGTTTGACCTGTCCCCTCAACTACACAGGCTGAATAAACTGTGTCTGACTATAAGCTTCATATTTGATACAAGACAACAGCTTTCATTAAAGATCAGTCAGATACAGTCAGGGCTTCACATCTGTACACATGTTAGTTTAAGAATGACCACCAGTCTGTGTGATGTTAAATACTTCAATAATTCAAACACACTGTGTATGTGTGTTACAGTTCTGTCAGATTTGGGAAGATGGCTGATTTGGAGGCAGACGGGGACAGATCAGAGTCTCCAGTGTCCAGCTGTCAGCTGTCTTTGAAGAGTGACCGGTCCATGCGTAGTCCTC